AGAGTTTTACCAAGTATTTTCACAGCAGAATTAAACTAGCATTTTACTAAGTATTTTCAATAGTTACATGCTCCAAATAACCAAAATGAACTCCACTAAATGGCACCACTCATAAAAATATATATATATATTAGCCATAGAATTGTTAGGGCTAAAAACAAAATAATCTTGCTAGAAGAATTTGCCGAGGGCTAAAAACAAAATAATCTTGCTAGAAGAATTTGCCAAAAAAATATACTTCCATGTGATAGCAACCGAAAGAAGATCTTGAACACACGTATAGTCAGGGGGTGTTTGGATCCAGGGACTAAAGTTTAGGAGGTGTCACATGGGGTGTCGCATATGGTGTTCGGATACTAATAAAAAAACAAATTACAGAATCCGTCAGTAATCTGCGTGTCGGTGTTTTGTAAACCAGACTAGTAAACTTATACGATTGCCGCGCTGCTCTAGGAAGACGATGGTAGCATCCAGACACGAGGATTTATACTGGTTCAGGCCGGAGCCCTACGTCCAGTCTCAGAGATGATCGAGTGCGTGTTTCTCGCTTAAATGCTATGAAGTTCTTACAATGGAGAGTGCAAGAATGGTGGAAGTGATGGAAAAACCTATGCTAGACGAAGGGCTGCCCGAAGAGAAGCTCTAGAAGCCCTACTACGATGGTGAATGAATGGAATGGTAGAGGATGTGAGTCGTGTTGCCCTGACGGTCCTTATATAGAGTTCGGGGGCAGGGCTCATACAAAGAGAAGGCTCTCCCAACTGAAGGGCCGTGAGCCTAAGGATGGTCCTAGCTAACTTAGCTTGCAAGCTACGCTATCTTCTGGTGCTCGTCCGGTCGTGGCTATCGTCATGGTCTTGTGGCCATGCTGTGGCAGGGTGTGACGTAGCGTCACTGTGCCGGCCGTGGCGGCACTGTGGGCACGGTGATGGTTCGCTAGCCGTCCTGTGTGGCATGGTCTCCGTTGTGGTCTTCGTCATCATCGTCTTGTCTCCCGGGGCGTCGTACGGGAGTTGGTGGCCGCCCCGGGTCACCGATGTCCGCCTTGTCTTGAGGAGCCGCGGACCATGACCCCAACTGTCGAGGTCGGGGCTCGCTGCTAGTCTGGATGGCTTCGATGTCGTGGCCTTCATCGCGGATTCCATCTAGTAGTGGGTGGGACCATATATCCGTATCACCGGGCCATGTCGTAATGGGGGGAGGTCGTGTGCTTTGCGAACGCCGCGCGGCTAAGGCTAGAGGAAGAGGTCGTGGCTGGCCCTGGCCCGTGCGTGCGGCCTGGCTTTCTCGGCTTGACTAGGCCTTGGTCGTTCGAGCCTTCTCCAGCTAGCGCATTGTAGGCCTCGTGGCCTGCTATCTAATCGGTGCCTTGAGACACCCCGGAGTTATAACCCCGACACCGCGAGACGAATTTATTAAGTCTAATTAATCTGTCAGTAGCACATGCTTACTGTAGCACAACATTATCAAATCATGGACTAATTAGGCTTAAAAATTTCGTCTCACAAAACAGTCTCAATATGTGCATTTAGTTTCGTAAATAGTATATATTTAATACTCCATACATGTGTCCAACATCCGATGGGACAGCGACTAAAGTTTAGGAGGTGAAAACAAACACCCCCTTAATTTCGCTAGAACTCTGCAAAGACAACGGAAAGAGTTAAAATTGAAGAAGAATTAATAGTTAATTCTACATAATTGAACAATTGTATTATGGAAACTACCATTATCATAGCTGTGAACCTAGTGAAGGCGAAGGTATTAGCATTATCCATGGATTCTTGAGTTTCTACACCGCCATTGACTTCATGCTGCATAAAGCATCCAATCTTGTTTGTTAGCTCAAACGTGGCCGGAGTTGGGCCAACGGCATCGCGAACTAACGGACCTGCACGGCCGGACAATGCGGGCGTGGCAGGAGCGGGGTAGCCGGCGACACAAACGCAAGGGAAGTAGGGGCAACCGATTGAGCAGACGCAGGCGAAGACCGGAAATCATCGGGTCCGAACGTTCTTTTTTTTTTTCATATTCTTCTCATGTTTTCTTTTTTCTTTTTCCTATATTCCATGGTATATGGTATACACGTGATGCCCTATGATGTATTTTAGAATACTGTTTTCCTAAATCAAAAATATTTTTTTGGTGAAGACAGAACATTGTTTTTTGAACATAGAACATCGCCTTTGTTCCATAATAAAAGAAACTATTCTATCTTTATGAAATAAATGTTCGTTAATGAAAATTTATCAAAATATATTCACGTGGGGTCTTGTTTAAAGCATTTATTATAAGAAGCACAATGGTACAATCAGAATTTAATTTAGCTCACTTTTAAGGGCATGTTTGGATCCCTTACTCTAAACTTTAGAGCTTTCAAAACTTTAGAGCAATTTAGCTCACTTTTGAGGTCTAAAGCTCTAATGTGGAGTGGGCTAAAATTTAAAATTAATTTAGGATCACCTGTTTGGAGCTTTAGCTCTAAGATTTAGAGCTCTAAAGTTTAGAGGGGAGGATCAAATAGGCCCTAATAACATGCATTAGACGGGCGTGATTAGGTAGAACTAAGCCCACACAAATTTTCTATGGCAGAGGACATGCGCCGAACGGCCGGACCCAGCGAAAGCAATTTTTCAGTGCATACATGCTGAGCATTGTTATCGGGGCTATCCACATAGCGTATCGAGATATGTGCCGTCCAAAATAGGAGTATTTCACATTGGGTAGAGTGTGTTTCATATTGGGTAGAGTGCATAGCACGAATCTCGAAGCAGTTTTGGACGGTGCAGATAGCATGCTGAGCATGCTCGTGTACACGCTGCAATACGTTTTTGGACCCCAGCGAAGACGAGCAGCGGCTGGGTCCCGCCAAAAAATTTACCACGTGCCGTCCATATCCCGCATGGCTGCGCAGCGATTTTCTCCCGAGTGGCAGCGAGCGTAGCGGCGGTATCTGAGCCAGACCCGTAGCTGGGCTTTTTTTCTGGGGCTGGAAAAGCTGTTTCGATCGTCAGCCGTTGGATGAAGAATGGAAGGCATCGGGGATAGGGTAAGTCAGCTATGACTTAGCTTCAGTAAGTCAGACAATCTGAACCCGCCTATAAGGGCCCGTTTGGTGCCACGATCAAGCTATTTTGGAAAAAAAAGTATGACTCTCATAGTTAATCTAGGAGAGACAAAGTAATTTGAATGTTTAGAATTCGGAATGGTTGACTCTAGGCAATCCAAAAATACCACTTTATTGTGACGTGAGAGAGTATGTTAAGTCTAAATCATGAGCACTAGATACAAGCCTTGGTGGGCATCAGCCTTTTTTTGTCAATTTTTTGAACACGCATAGCGGGATAAGTGACTGAAAAAGCTCACCGAGATCACGTCACTCCACACTTTCGTGTTTGTTTCCTGGAACGGAATGCGCTAATCCATCATGACCTTATCGCTCGCCAAAGCACATAATTTGAAGAAATCCAGGGGATGCATAAAAAATTCTTATGAAACAACAAAAAAGTTATACATCTTATATTACCTTAAAAATTTCTTCTAACATTTGCTGCTGCGAAGTCATTCATGATGGTCTCAATATCAATTTCATGTAGTTTGTTCCTCCACAACAACAATTGTCCACTCATCTGGATTTTTTGTAGTGCTTGTACTGCTCTTAAAAAATTTATGAATAGATCCCCTTTCTGATTCTTTCAAGGCATCTATCTTTCTCTTCTTTTTTCTTTTCTCACTTCCAGATGCATGTTTTTTGGGCAACATGAGTTCACTGTAGATTGAGAAAAGTACCTAGTAATTAAAAAAAATATCATACTAAATTCAACATGATTGCTACTTGTATTGGATTCCTCATTCTTAATCTTAAATCCCAAATCTAAAGAAGTATAAAGAATAAAGATTGGGGAACAGGGAGATTAGAGGGGCTTGGCCGCTTAGGGCCAAGGGCCAGTTTGTTACCTCCGCAGGAAGCCAGAAACACGGATGGACAATTGGACAGAGTCAGTGCGTGTGCGTCGCGCCGTCGCCGGCCGACACCCGGCAGCCGCTCACGCTCGATCGCCAAGATCACCAAGACGCACTTACGACGCGCGATCGATCATCATCGCCTTTCTTTCTTGAACGGAGTCGCCGAGGCCGCGCGGCGGAAGGGCGGAGTCATGGACGCGGAAGTGCGGAACGCAATCGACGCGATTTTCCGGACTCGTATCTCGTACGCCTGGTTGACTGGTTCACCTATTCTATGGACTAATAATGGGTCATACAAAGAATACTAGTACTACATACATAAATGGGGTTGGCCCCTGGCCTCGAGGGCCAGTCTTGTTGCACAGCATTCGCACTCCGGCCGGGCCTGGTGCCTTAGTGGCAGATTGTGGTTGCTCTTAGGCATAGAATGGGGTTGTTGGGTAGCAGGTACTTAGTGGCAAATTGTGGGTATGGCAGTGAGGCGACAACAAATGGGAGATAGAGGTGACAGGTCCATCGTGTCTCAAGGATCAAAGATACCAATCGAGTAGGGGGTTTGAATATATGGTTTTGACTATTTGTAGGAGGTAACTATTTTGGTTCGCCAAAGTTTAAAACAAATTGGACATAACCACTAAGCATCCATGTTAAGTGGATGATGCTTGCTTGAAGACCCACTAGTGCTACAATAGCTCAAACAATGCTCCAATCCCTCATCCACAAAGTATACACCACTTGTTTGAAGGTTCGCACTTCAGGATTTAATAATTGATGACAACCAAAAAGAGTTCTAAAGATGAAATTTTATTCCATCATTAAAAACACTCAAGAATGCAGCAACCAAGGCAATGTATGCATTGTCCATTGACATAGCAACAAATTGGTCGTAAGTTGATCACATCCCCCATTCAGGTACATTATTATGTGAACTTGTGCGAGGTGGTAGGCAGTGAGAAAGAAGTTGTGGTGGATTCTACATATATACAGTACTGTTTGTTCTCTTTGTCGACGCCTGAGTGGTGTCGAATCGCCCCCTAATATGTATCTACCACTACACCAGACCAACCAGTGTGGGCGAGGGTGAGAAGTGAAAGTTTGGAGTTGGGCATGTTTTCCTTCAAGTCTTCAACTGTATATAAAGTAATATAGTCATTGTACTAGATCATGTTTAGAATAGCTTCTATCTGTATATAATCCTACTCGTGGGAGAAGTTGATGATTAGCAGTGTCCATCTTCTTAGTACGCCCAAACTCATGTTGTACTATGCTAGCGAGCATGTGTTCCACTAAGAGGAAGAGAGAACCACAACTGAGAGCTGCTCATGTGGCACAACCCGTAATTGGTGCGAGCGTACATGGGCTGGTGCATTGTCTGTACATGGGCTGGCCTACCAGCTTATGTGGCACGGCGGCCCGTAAAGTCAGCTTTTTCAGCCCAATCAAGGCTGCTACCAAGTAGTACCCTGGTCCCCGGAATGCTGAAGGAATCGAATTCGAATGAGGCCTGAAGCCAGCAAGCAAAGCAAAAGGAAGCAACACGCCACGACAAGCAGGAATCTGCACTGCACTGTACTGCAGCTCTGACCATGCACAGCACACAGTGCCAAGCAGCGTCCTTGTCCCCATCGCCGTGTCGGCAAGTTGGTAGGGTTAGGGTCGGAGTAGTAGAAAGAGGGGCGTCATGCCAATCGGTGGTCCACTCCCATTGACAACAAGATTACACTTCAATAGTTTACCAGATGAGGCCTCTGATCTCCGGTAACTATTGTTCAGCTGTAATTACAATATGAGGTTCAAACAAAAAAAGTGTTTACTCAGATGAGTTGAGGAAAAACAGGAACAAGTTGACCCATGACCGCAGTCGTAGTGAGCCTTGAGCTGGCCTTAAGCCCGTTCGCTGATTGATTTCTAGACTGATAAACTCGGCTGGTGCTGCTTTATTATAAGAGAAAAACATTGTTGGCTGATTGATAAGCCCTAACTGAAACCAACGAGTGAGCAGGCTGCTTGGCTCTGTTTCTCGCAGCAGCTGAAGGCGCCGGCACGAGGCCAAAACACCGTCGGTGCCCGTGCCGTCATCAATCCCTAAGCCCCAAACAGTTGCTATACTTGCGTCCTTGATCCTTCACATGGCCATGGTCTCCTCCAGAGTCTGGTCCACTGCTAGGGACGAACCAACGTTAGTTACTCCATTTTATTATCACTTCACACAACAACATGAAATTCACTGGTCTGACTAATTGGCGAACGCTCACTATAATTAAATTTAGCGAACGATTCTCCGACAGCTGCAAACTTTCCTTTTCAAGAAAATAATTATTCCAGCCTGCTTCCTTTCCAGGCGGTGACGAGCGTGCGTGCGTCTCTTTCTCTTTTCGCGTGCCGAAGAGCGCTCTCACACCTAAAGCCAACATTTTCTTTCTTTTTTTTAATGCATGCATAACTTAAACTAACTGAGTTACACAACATAACTTCAAGGATTAAGTTAAGCATGCTAAGTTATACAACATTATTTTTTCTTTTTCTTTTTTTGCGAACCGAGACCAGCGCATAATTTAAATTTTGAGAACAGCTGCAAGAATAACATTCTCTTTAGGATTCATTAGCATTTTTCTTTTCGTTTCAAGACCTAATCATTCAGGAACATGAGAAAAGAGTTTAAAAATAGGTGGGGGAGCAAAATAAAAGTAACTTTTACACTCTACACTACACAACAAATTCCATAAGATGTTGCAAACTTGCATAACAAACTTCATAACTTCTCAGCAGCTAATCAGTATCTCTGTGACAAGGTTATTAACCATCTCTGTGTCTTCACTAAGATATTCAAAATATTTAATATTAAAATAATAAATAAAAATAACAAAGTTGACAATAAGAAACACATAAGTTAATAAGAAAACTAAGATGATTATCTAACATAGTGTGATAAAACATGAAACTAAGTACAGTAAGTTAATCAAATAAGTTAGGTAGCATACACATGAAAACAAAAGTTAGATCCATAACTCTGTATAGTAAGTTAATCAAATAAGTTAGGTAGCATACACATAAAAACACAAGTTAGATACATAACTAGGTATAATAAATTAATTAGATAAATAACTCTGTTATTTAACATAGCAAAAAAAAACATTTAGAACAAATTTGTAGAGTAACGTAAGAAAAACAATTGATTACATAATCTCATAAAAAAGCAGAAGAAACTATTTCAATAGCAATGAATGTAATAACTTAAGTAGAAAATCATACATGTTATACCTTGTTGATCCAGAATTTCAAAGCTTTATACCCTGACAAATTTGCGAACTGATTTTCATGAATGATCCTGAGAATAACCTTTTGTAACCTGTTAGCTAACAATTTGGTCAGAATCTTAAATGATGTGTTAAGTAAAGAAATGGGTCTAAAATCATTGATTATCTCAGGATTCTTCATCTTGGGGATCAAAGTGATGAGAGAGGAACTAATGCTCTTAAGATCAGCACAGTGATTGAAGAAATCCCTACACAAAGAATATATATCCTCTCTAATGATATGCCAGCTCTTTTTGAAGAAGAGGCTGTTAAACCCATCAGGGCTTGGGGCTTTATCATTCGGCATACTCAAAATGACAGAGTCAATTTCTTCAGTGCTAAAAGGTAGGATTAATCCTTCCAACTCATCAACTGGGGTGATAAGATCCTCTAGATCAAACAGGATTTCATCATTCAGAGATACCCCCAACCTGTTCTTAAATTCCTGCCAGAATAAAGCACTTTTCTCCTGATGGTGACCATTCCCCCCTCATGACTAAGAATCTGGGATATCGTGTTCCTTCTGTACCTTTCAGTGGCCATGGAGTGAAAGAATTTTGTATTTTCATCTCCTAGCTGAATGAATCTTTGTGTGAATCTTTACTTCCAATATTCTTTCTGCATATGTAGAAGTCTCTGTAAATGAGTTTTGATGATGGATCTCAAATTGCTTTCCTGAGTGTATAGGTTCCTATGCGATGAGGGGCCCATATTCACATGGGCCAACTCCCCCTTGAAGAGGCCCAATAGGAGTTAGTGTTGTAGCTTGTGAAAATCTTCCCAACCGAAGGGTCGCTTGTAAATCGCCGTTGTCTATATATAATGTCAAGAGCATAAGGGCAAGGGTCTCTCTCCTCTCCCACTATTTTTTCGCAAATCCGAGCCGCCACCTCACTCTCCCCCCTTGCGTGACGGAGCCTTTGTCCCAGGGCCTTCTTCAGCTAGCATTCACCGAGGAGCCTTCACCCCCGACCTTGTTTGGGACGCTTGTCCCAACAGTGAACTTTGTAACAATTTCAGTAGTCCACAAACTTATACGTGGAACCGAATTTGGAAGATAAAATTCAGATACATCTAGGGATGAAAATGGTACGGATATTTTCCGACCGTATTCGAGACCGAATCCGTTTAGAGGGGTTTAAATCCGTTCGTATCCGAGTCCAGATATTCAACATCCGATACCGTATCCGTATCCGAATACTCAAATCGCATATTTATGATGTCGATATCCAATCGTATCCTATCCGGCATGGTTGACACTATTCGTATTCGAATTCGAATCCGGATAAAAATATGAAAACAAATGTAATATCAGTGATATCCGTCCGTATCCGATCCGTTTTCATCCCTAGATACATCTAGGAACTCAAATATAAATTACCTGCCATTTGATAGAAAGCAAATTGTGAATACTAAAAAAAGAACAATGAAGAGTAATGACATGAGCTATAGGAAGAAAAGAACTATGAAATAATTACCATTACCATTAGCACAAACACACAGCCAAATAATTCAGATACGCCACATGTTGTTTCATACTGCTGGAATTTGTGAATACATTCGACCAATTTGTCTAAAACAATTCCAGACCAATCATATGTTGCAATTTTATCAGGTTTCAACACAAGAGAACAGAATTCTGGACTACTGGATTCAAACTGCTTGGACATAAGAAGCAAGTTACAAGAAAAAGTGTGAAAACCTTCTTGAACTTGTCACCTTCTAAATCATCAGTGATCATAGCCATAAGCTCATTGATCGTTGGTACTTGCTACAACATTTGATATCCTCAGTAATGAATCTTTTCATATTATCATCAGATGCACTCGAAAGAGAGAAGCCACAAATTGGGATTCCTAGAACTTGATGTACTTAGTGTGACGTTATAGTCACAGTGTATCCAGTTGGTAAGATGAGACTTCTTGTACTAACATCAAAATGTCTCACGAGCCATAGAACAACTGATTTTGCGATATACCTGCAAGACGAATCTAAGAGATGGTGGAAACCAAGTGTCTGAACAATTTTCCTTTGGGTCAAACTCAATGACTTGGCAACTGACCTCAACTTCGGTAAAGATAATCTTGTCGTTTAGTATTACAATTGAACATATAGAATGTATATTAAAAAATTATGTGCAAGGTAGCCAAAATTATGCAAATTTGGCTGTATGAGAAAATGAATAGAATAAAGTGAATAACATAGTTTGGATCCATCAACTCTATTTACCTTGTCCTTGCTTCTATATTCATGGCATGAATTTGATTTCATCTTTGATCTGCCAATCTAAACATACATGAATCAGCGATGTACCAATGGATATCTAATTGGGAAGTACCGAAACACAGAGATCCGCAGGAGCGTTGCCAGTACCAGAAGAATCAGATTCCTAAATAAAAGAACATAAAAAAGCACAATACTACCAAATATTAATTTACAAAAGAGTTCTTCTAGTGATGCAATCCTGGATATAATGGAACCCACACTCAACAAGTCTCCTTAGGTTTCATATGTGATGACAACTAAGAGCTAACAAAATGATACCAAATTGAAAGGGGCACATGCACATTAGGCAATAACAACGGTTAGATGAAATGTCTTCAGAGTATAGCAGATGTTTATGATTGATGCCCAACATACTACCACAAGTCTTGACATTCAATGCAATACTATTTACAATTTTAATCCTGCAATGATTAACTATCTATAAATTTCAGGAATGTCTACACTATCCTCAAATATGATGTGACAAATTTTAACATGAAAATGTCAGTCATCTTTGCAAAAGAGATAGACAATGCTGATCAAAATCAAACAGCACATGTGCGGGAAAGAAATGGTCGTTTTACAGATTTTTCTTGCAGGATCAGGGGAGCTTGCTTTATTAGTCAAGCTCATGTGCTTTACGTGTGCAGTAAAACCAGCTTAAATTTCGGTGGATGCATTGTGCAAATAAAACAACAACAGCATCAACAGAGCTATTTTAAAGAAGACAAATAAATAAATAAACTTATCTGACTGATACTTGAACTAAACAAAACTAAGAAAGAAATTGGCAAACAAACTTCTTACATCATTTCTAGAAGACTCCAACTCAGTGATTGATGTGGACTTTACTCCATCAGAATCACTATCTCCTTGATCAGCCATCTAAAAATAAACCAAATATATTTCATAAGAAAAAAAAAAAACAGAAACACTTAATAAATCCAACCACAAATTGTAAGCAACTCCACAACCTTGCCCTTCCCTACGGACGCTGCTCGCCGCCGTTGCCGCGTGCCCAGGGCCAGCAGGAATGCGGCGAGCGCCACCTGCATTGCGACGAACACGCCGGCGAGCACAATCACGAATAGCTCGCGGAAGTTGAGCAGGTGCCACTAAGGATGAAAACGGACGGAAACGAACGGAAAATACCTCTATTGTTTTCGTTTTCATATTTTTTGACGGAAACGGGAGCGGGAGCTGGACAGCCGGAAGCGGAAACAGTAGCGGGATAAACGGTAATACGAAAACGGGTAAATATGATAGGAAAATAGACGAAAACGGAAGGGAAGCGGGAACTTTGACCGGGATTACATGCCACATGAACTCTCACACATATATTAAAGTTAATAAACAATTCCTTTGTAAAAAGAATGAATGAATAAATAAATAATTTAAGACACCTCATAAATCACTTGGACTAATCTGCTCATTAGCTTGCTTACCGTTCGTGCGTGTGCTGCTGATACTAGGCGCCTCAGCGCCTGTACTGTGTGCTATACCCCTATACGGAAGTGCTGCATGCCACATGGGCCACGGCCACACACCAGCAATCAATACGTTTTTTTTAACACACTAACAGCATGGAAAAGTTCGCACTAGCAGTAGCAGGCTTCTCCTACTAGTAATTAGCAAAAGGCACAGGATACGGAGATGAAATAGATGGGCCGAACTAGTAGGCCTCATGTTTACGAAGCAGGCCAGCAGGTTATTCCGGATAAGCTGTAAACGGGATGAATACGGGATTATCCCGGTCGGTATTCCGTAAATATGGACGGAAAAACCCTCATCCCGTTTTCGATACGGTCCCGGTGCATCCCGTCCCGTTTCCTGGAAAAACGAAAACGGTCGGGATAAAACGGTAAACGGTTGCGGACGGAACGGGATCCATCCCGTCCGTTTTACACACTAGGTGCCACCCGTGTTGATGGCCTCACCGTCGGAGGCAGCGGGCTCAGCGGGGGCGGGTGGTGGTGCGGCGTCGGCGCGCGAGCCGGGGTCGGGGCCGGAGCCAGTGAACCCGCGGCGGCCGCGCAGGGCAGGGGAGGAAGGGCCCGGAGGCGACACGCGGCTCTGGCGCGGGAGCCGGGGTCGGGTCCGGGGGCAGTGAACCCCCGGCAGCCGTGCAGGGCTGGGGTGGAAACTAGGAGCAGAGGAGGAGGGGGGAGAGGACAGGAGGGAGGTGGCAGTCAGCAGGGCCTGGACGGCGCGCGGCGCCATGGGGATTCAGAAAGAGAAGACCTAGAACACCTCGAATCGAATCCCCCGATAATTGGAATGACGGAGAAATAAGAGAGAAGAGAACTCAGCGATACCTCGCGATGAATCCCGGAGAACACCCAGGGATCCCTCGAATCAAATCCGGCGAGGTCACCCCGAAGAGGAGAGTGATGAGGAAGAAGATGAAACGGCACTGTTCAAAATAACCTGCTTCGTAGGGTGCGGGGGATATTTCAGAATGAAATTTCGGACGACGCCCGCTTCGTTGGGTCGTCACGTGGAATGGACGGAAAAGGAAAGGGAGCAGGACGGAAAAGGAAAGGAGACAACGCGGTCGAGACAATCGGAATTTTGCCCTCATGGGATTTTGTGGGCTTAGTTGAAATGCACTTATGAAATAAATCCAACATGTTATGATTCTATTTTGAGTTTTAAGTCTACTTAAAAAAAAAAATCAGCCAAAATTTTAACCTTCAGTGACCATTTTGCCCCTGAGCTCGTAGAATCGGTGGGGAAAGCGAGCAGAGAGAGAAGTGCGGGCGGTGGTGCTGCTCGTTGACGAGCACATAGAGAGACGGTGGGAGACAGAGAGGGGCTTAAGCGGTGGAGCTGCTCACCGCTGAGCAGAGCACCTGGACGAGCGGTCAGTCACTGGACTGGCGCTGGGAGCACGTGGCTCCTGTTGCTCGGCCTCCCACGACGAACAAGCAGGAAGAAACGAAGAACTGGAAATCTAGAACAGGAAACCGGCGGCCACAAAATCGACGAAAAACTGGACCAAATCAAAACAAATCGCGACCAAACTTTTCACATGGCATCACAAGGGAGTTGGTGAGCATACTCTAAGAGATCATCGCCCAATTTCAATCCAAACTCCGAGAAAATTAGATCACGGCCAAGAACACGAAAAACTCCCCAAAAACGAAATTCGTTCAATTTCTTCGTGCTCGACTCGATTCAATCAAATTCTTTAAGGCGTAGCATCAACTCATGTCATAGCACGAATCTGAGCAAAAAAGAACGAACTAAATTGGTCAAAAAATGAAGAATCGAAGCAAGAACGGGGGAGGGAAAAACTGAGAAAAAAAAGCTGCAAAAATAAAATCACAGACACAGTCCCTGGAACACGAATTGGTAGTGTCATTGCCAATTGGTGCCGTCCTTTCACAGATAAACACAGAGAAGGCAAACATTGGAACAACAGGCATTCTAGGCCAAACCCTAGAACACGAATCGAAGTCATCGAAGGAACGAATCAGAGAGGCAAAAGCAAAATCCCAAAATACAAGAGGAAACGGGAGCACCTAAGACTACTCTGTGCCAACCGCGGCACCGCCGAGACCCATCGGCACCGAGCACGAGCACCATGAGCGGCCACAACATGAGAGAGGGAGAGGGGGAAAGATGAGGACGACGGGCCTGCAAGGCCATGCCTCTGCCCTGCCCTGCGCCTTCCCCGCTGTGGGCTTCGCTCTCCACTACGGTCACAGCAAGTCAAATATTGGGCTGAAAAATATTAAAAGTTGGTTTAAATCAAGAAATGACAATATAGCGTGAATGACTGGTTTCATAGAGGTATTTTTACGAAGCCCACAATTTTAATGGTATTTAAGCGAAACCCATCTGCAGTTAGGGCAAAATTCCAATTTTCTCGACGCGGTCGGATCGTTTGCTCGAATAGAAAGCGGTGGACGACCGCCAAAGTAGAATTGGGCTATCCGTATCCTTTGCTATATATGCCACCAGCACACGAAATATGACCTCGTGCTCTGGGTGTGCCTTCATGCGGCACAACTGGCTAGCCGTATCCATGAACCATGACTAGCGAAAAGACACCAGGCACTCCACACCCCTCAATTGCAGGAGCAAGAGCTGCTGATATAGTGCGTAGCAATCGAAAGAGCCTGAATCCCTGGATGTCTGAATGTTCTTCAGCAGTCAGCACTGCTGGATATGAAACTACCAATTACCTCTGAGGCCCCCAGTTGGTGTTACAAGTAGTACAACCTTGGGTTACATCACAGTTCAGGAATTTCATTTCACTAATCCTAGCTCAAGGCTCCTTCAGCTCTAGCTCTACTGCTAATTCCCCGGGGACTGGGGGCCTTGGTACATCACTAGCTAGCACGGCAGTAACCAAGAACTGCTAGCAATAAACTAAGCTGGGGCAACACTGAGACGGTGTCCACTCCCAGCAACTAACAACTGATCGGTCAACGCTAACGCCTATCTCTTCTCTTAGCCTACCTGGACGTACACGCCAGCACTGGTGTAGTGGTGTTGCCGTCCGGCCATCTACAAGCTACAAGCCTGTGGCCGTTGCCTCCTTGAAGCTCTTGGTGAGCCAGATGGCCGTCTCCCTGGGGGACACCTTCTCGTCGGGGCCGAACGGCCTCAGCAGGACCCCGAGCTCCTCGTACCGCTCCTGCTGCAGCAGCTGCGCGCTGAACTCCAGCAGCCCCTCCAGCGCCTCCGCGCGCTGCTGGTACGACGTCGTGTCGAACCGCCCCTTCGGCTGCTGTCTCAGCAGCAACCACCCCGAGGACCCGTGGCTCGACGCCGCCACCGCCGCCGCCGTGGTGTCGCGACCCGAGGACGAGTCACCGCCGATGTCGTCATCGCTCCTGCCGTTGTCACCGTCGGCGGCTGCCGACCGGAGCGTCTGGGCCGTGCACTTGTCCTTGGTGAGGGACCGGTCCACGAACGGAGGCGTGGCGAAGGAGCAGGAGCCGCCGGCGGTGGGTGTCGAGGGCTTCACGATCGAGAACACGGGGTTCTCCCACGAAGCTAGCGGGAACTCGGCGATCCTGTCGATGCGAGGCGAGTTCACGGAGACGTCAGGGGACTCCAGCTGCTCCAGGATGCTCATGCTGCTGCGCTTCGGGTTCGGGGTCTCAAATACTGGCAGGGGAAGTGATGCTCTGCGGGCCAGATGGCTGTGCCTGTTGTCAACTGGTGTTCTTGAAAACTGCTGATGGAAATGGGAAAAAGGAAAACACACAAGTTTCAGTATCAAGGAACTATCATCTTCACGCACACAACAAAAATAACTTGAAGTTCAGTATGACAACTAAATGGAGATATCAATTGCCAATGTTTGGTCTTTGGCTCTTTTCTGCAAAAGGAGTGGCAACACATAAAAACGCCGTGCCAATGTTTGGAAGCCATGGTGATACATCTTTGCCAAGCATAGGTGGAGGTTCATTAATAGGATATGTGCACTTTTGTTATGTCTAGGTGCTTTCGTTTATTCCGTTGCGTGTTTCAAAGATGTAATAATAGATGTCCTTGTGCATCATTTGTTGACACATCGGTTAGGATAATTTTATCCCTTATCTAAAACAAGTTGACTACTTATATTTTGATGGGTCAAGTTAAAAGAAGTTTCACTGACTAGAATCCTAAAGTGGTCTACATTAGGGATCTGAGAGAGCACGTGATATATATGCAGTTACCCACTCGGAAATATCACATGCCTATTAAAGGATGTTATAAACAGGGTTCGACTGATTTTTATTACATACCTCTGTATGACTTGTTCTATCATATGATGCTTGTGGAGCTTCTAGCCGATTCCTTAGAGTTGTCATCATCTTCCACGGAGTCTTCACGACATTTGAGGTCCTTGATGCTACGGGTTTACTAGTAACCTCAACCTGGCTGTCATCAATGGATAGCTCTTTGACACTCTGTGTGGTGGTGTAGTCCTTTATACTCCTAATAGACCTGATAGAATTTTTATCAGGACAAGGTGTGCTAAAGGTTACTATCCTTTCACTGCGTAAAGAGTTCCTCCTGCTCTTGCTTCTGCAATCAGGTTCTGCGGTGAATGTCATTCTCTTTTCACTTGGAGATTGATGAACAGGAATTATGCTGCGGGAAGGGTGTGATTTCAAATGCACTTGCAGCACGTACGGTTGTAGATGTGGATGCTTAAGTAGTTCAGCTGCCTGCTTAAGAAAGTTATGTAAGGACTCATAGAGGCCTAGAAAACATTGTCTTAAATAATTGCTCTTTAAGAGGGTTATAAAGTCTTATTACACTTGGCCTGTGCTCTGGACTTCTCCGTAGCATGCTCCTAACAAGTCCTCGACTGCATGAGGTGAAAAGTTGTTAAAAAAAATGCCACAAGTAAACTAAAAGTAAACAGAAAAAAAAACATAAAACCAATAAACTCACAATGCACCAGAATATCTTGTTGGCAAAGGTGATACTATCGACTTGGTAATCTTGTTGATAAGGGCTTGCATATCCTGTCAAAGAAATGATGAAAGGAGAATTAGTTAAGCCGCAAGGTTATCTAACCATTAGGTCAGATAAGCACATCAATTTCTATATGCAGATTCCAAATCAGGGCTGCCAAAACATTCAGTTGCATCCAGAATTTGTTTCAAACTCCCAAGCAGTAACATATAAAAAAGGGCGTACCCAGTGCAGAGAGCTCCCGCTCTGTGCGGGGTCTGGGGAAGGGTGTTAGTGGCAAGCCTTACCCTCGCCTGTGCAGTGCGAGGAGACCGCGACTCGAACCCGGGACCTTCCGGTCACAGGCGGTAAGACTCTACCGCTTGCACCAGGCCCACCCTTCCAAGCAGTAACATATACAGCATAAAAACAGTGCGAACCTAACTAAAGCCACCCACATAAGTCGAACACAGCAGAAGAAAAACATACATGAAGTTACTTAAGTACTTAACCATTTAATCAAATAGCATGCACAGGCAACAAATAAGCAGTCAATAAAAGAATTTTCAGAACTTACAAAAGCTTTAAAAGCAGGTTTGAGTGCAGTCATTTCATACATGCAGCATCCTGAAACAGAACCAAACATGAATTACAGTCCAACCCATAACCAAAGCACCATGTGCTCGACATTTCTTACATTTTCACCGATGCCTTACCTAGTGACCAAATGTCAGATTTGGTACCATAAGGTATATCAGCCAGAAGTTCTGGGCACATATAGGTTGGTGTTCCTACAACCTGCACCAGGGCAATATGTGCTGAGTGGTGACTGAAAATGATGGTACAGAATAACAGAATCAAGTGAAGTGAAGTGTTGTAAGTGCTAACCGAGGATGCTAGATCATCAGCGGTCAAAATTTTTGCAAGCCCAAAGTCACCTGCATTTGTTTATAAGGCAAATTAAATTGCGCCCAAAATTATGTACTTGCTAGAAAGCTTGCCTTGTATAGAGTAGTGATAACTGACATACCAAGTCTTATATTTTGATCCCTAGTAAGAAATATATTCGAGCACTGAAATAAATAAAGATCAGCTTTAGAAAACATATTTTCACATTGTACAAAAACACGCATGATGTACTTCAAACATAGCAGAACTATTACCTTCACATCACGGTGAAGAATGTGATGTGCATGCAAATAGTCAAGGGCCATGAGAAGCTGCACTAGCCACTGGCAAAGCTTCTGCAGAGTGAGAAAACAGTTCATATGCATGCCTTTGTTACCAGGAATCCCCCAAAAACATTTCAATGAAGATTAATTCATGAACTGTACCTCTTCAGAAAAGTGGGTATCATTAGCTCTTTTAATAGCTTCAGCCCTGGTAAAAAAGCATGTTAGGGATCAAAATGTTCTAGAAGTTCATCGATTCAAGCACTAATAGCATATTTCACCTCAGAGAGATACATACATGTCTCCTCCCTCACAATACCCTATAACAATGCAGACGTAGCAACCCTGAAATTGAAACATACAGTGAAAAATGATGTAAAATCATAGTCCATACTACCAACTTGCTCCAAAATACTCCTGGTAGTTTCAACGGAAGTCTCATGCAAGCATATTTCAGGATTTTTTTAATCTCTCTTTTAAGGATTGCCAAGTATCATAACGCTAGAAAAAGTAACTCGTTTTCCTAATTACTCTTATACTAACCTTATCCACCCATGAATCCTTGTACTCCACAATGAATGGATTCCTCACTGTAGCAATGAGCTGCATCTGCAATGATATTTCAGTTTGCTAAGTGTAACAGAAACATTGCTATCAGAACGTTTAAGTTCAGATCTCAGTTTGGTAAGCAGTAGCATCATCATGAGAGCAACAGTTTGTGGGAAACCAAACCCTGGCAAGCACTAATCATTCTGGACGGAGAGTTGACATTGGCAAGCCATTCTTGGTAAACAAAAGACACTGTTTGTGAATCATAACTAGTAGGCGCAAAATTGATCCGTGCAAAGCAGCAGCTGCCTATACCTCCTGGTGGGCAGACCGGCGAGTGCGGTCTGTCTGACGCGCAAGACGGATCTTTTTCAACACATACCTGCGCATGTTCAGACTCCCAATGATCAAAGTGGAATAAGATGGGGGATACAAAAAAGTGTTAAAGCAGTGTAGTGGTCTCACTTCTTCCTCTCCAGCTTGTGCCTGACCAGAAGAGCAGAGCCAAATGCTCCTTTACCGATCTGCTCCAGCACCTCGTACTGATCCATGCTGTCTTAAGCTCAGGAAGCTGCTCGTTTTTGTTCCCCTGTCCTGAAAAGAAAATGCAAGAAATCAGAACGATTTTCCTTAGCATTGCTGTGATTTGGACTGAATAAAATGTGGAAAAAACAAAGAAGGAAACAATTAACTTGAGGGCTCAAGATTAATCGTTTGCCTGTAGGCTCGGTAATTTTGACTTAAAGAAGTGCATTTAAGCACTGTACAGCTTCATTATTGCAGGGGCAGTATATGTACTGTAGTTAAAAAATTACAAAGCACAACTTTAATGGTCCTAATGGCGACAAATTTTCAGTGCGGATACGAAAAATAAAGGAAGTGTCGCCACGTGATGCGAAATGAACTGCGGGACAAAACTAGCCGACAATGTTGAAGTTATCCATTTTGTTTGAACTATAACGCGAAGCTTTGAACCCCAAATGCCAAACTGACGAGCTCATGAAAATGCCGGATACTAGTAGATCCTAAAAAGGCAAGTGTTCCCCTTTGTTTGAAATCCAAAAGCAGACAACTGGAAGCCCAGGAAAAAAAACTAGTATATTTTTTTTCCAACAAAGAACTCAAATACCAACCCGAAAAGGTCCAAGAGAGAAATGCTGAACAGGACGAGCACTAATGTAAACCCAATGCGAGCCTCCAAGTCCAAGAACTCACCAAAATCACCACAGGAAATCTTGCAAGCAAGAGAAAGAACTGAAACCCAGAAATGGCAGGCAAAACTCACCAAAAAAATCCCGACTGGCAGCTGCCGGCGGCTCCAAGAACTGACCAGAGTAGCTCAAGAAGCGCTCTCCCGGAGCAGCCGCCCGACCGGGAGCAAATGCAAAAGGATCGGAAGGGGAGGGCGAGAGACCCGTGGTGGTGTTCACCCTTACTCACACAGATCTCGCCGCATTTGATCAGAGAGAGAGAGCTTGCGGGGGGGAGGGACTGAGTTCAAACTTCAAACCCGCTGGTTGTTCTGGAACCTCAGCATTTTATATGGATAAAAAGGAGAAAAAGGTGAAGGCTAGAGGGAAAGAGTATTCGGAAGAGGGGGGAGAGAGCCATGGAAGCTGTAGAGAGAGAAAGCGACAGGAGGAGAAGGAGAAGGGGATGCAGGCGGGGGGCGCGGGGCGGTGCGGGATGATGCCGAGGTCAAATCGATGCTTTTGATTTTGGATTCTGGCAATGGGTTTGTGCTTGTTGCTTTGTGCAATTGTGTTGTGCTGCTGCTGGTGGATGTATTCATGTATGTATAGGCGTGTACCGTATACGGTACGGTATACGGAGGGGGAAATCGAGGGCACGGATTTGTGTCTTGAGTCTTTACTCTTGATACACTGTACTAGATATATGCTCGTGATTTGCATGGTGATCATAATTTTTTTTTGACTGAACCTCATTACTCGGAGCTCCGAGGATTTCTTATTAGATGCGGACTCCAGTATTCCTATTCGAACCGGGATGGATGCGGACGCGTAAGTGTCGAGTGAAGGATGATTCGTATCGAACGTGGATACATGAGCAGGAGGTATCACCGGGTAGATGATTACTTTAGAGTCTTTATAGGTGTAGAGATAGAGATAAACTACGTGATTTTATAATTTTATCAGTCATGTTATTTTTTGTTATCTCTACCATTCATTAAATAAAATTTCATCTGTAATTCGCAAAAAGAATCATCAATTAAATAATATTTAATTAGTGTTTTTCTATATGTCAAACGGTAAACGATCGGTTACCTCACATTTCGTTATCATTTAGACTAAAAGGGCATTTAAACGGAATTAACGGACTATTAAATTGAAACGGTTTACCATTACGTAGGTTTTCCAGGCTTTAAACGCTAAACGGGCTAAACGGCTTCGCGTACAGTCCATCCAACTCCAAACGAAAAATGGTTTAAGGCATCCCTGCGGTCTCCGAGATGGAGCCTGTTGACTTGATTTGTGTAAAAGCATATTATGGATAAATCATATTATATTTTATTAAATATTTTTATGATAAACTTAGTTGCATCATCAACAACAGATGTTCAGCCTGTTCGTTTGTTGGTTTTAAACAGGCTTATCAGTTATGGTACATTATTTTTCTCTCACAACAAACCAGCACCAGCCAGACTTATCAGCCCAGAAACCAACTGTCGGTGCAGAAAGTGACCAACAAGTAAATATTTGCAGTTTTGCCGTACGTTGTGATCGGAGATGGCCTATCACTCAATGACACAGGGTTTATACTGGTTCAGGCAACGTGCCCTACTTCCAGTTTGAGTCGGTCGGTGACTTTATTCCTAAGACCAGGTGTTCGAAGTTTACAGTGGGGTTACAAACGAGAAGGAGAAAGATGGGGGGTACAAGAGGTCCGGTCGAACTCCGGTCGAAAGGGCCGAGAGTGACAAGAGCTCCGCTATGAGCTAAGTGTTCGAGTGTATGGTCGTGGTTTGAACCTGGTGGTTCTGTTGTTGTGTGCTAGTGAACTTGATCGATCTAATGAATCTGGAATCACTTGAATGAATCTGAATGCTGGGAGAGAGCGCATCCCCTTTTGTAGATGAAGGGGATGGCCTTACAAGTAAGAGGGAGAGAGTATGTATACTTCTAAGCCTTGTTGTCCACGCCGACGGGCACATGATGATGGTAGGCGCCCATAATACTGTTGAATGTCCAATGCACATGGGAGGTGGTGTTGTCTTCTTCGGGTATGGTAGACGTCGGCGTCTGCCATACTGTTGGTACCTGGAGGCATGAAGGGGTTTTACCATGTTCGTCCGGTACGGTAAAAGCCAGCGCCCACAACACTGTCGATGCCCAGAGGCATGTGGGGGGGGCCTCACCGTATGGGAGTTAATGGCGCCCACAATATTGTAGAGGAAAATATCGGCGCTTACAATACTGCTTGGGCTCTGCTATGCCAGGGAGGTCACAGAGCACTGTTTTCATAGGCGTATAGGGTACGGACCCCGATATTGCGGTTTGACTTGTGCGTCATGGCTTACTTTCTCCGTCCTTTTCCTGGTCTTTACCGAGCGGGCGTCCCTGGTCGGTTGGTCCTAGTCGGCTCTGATCGCGCCAGTCGGAGAAGAGCAGTGAGCAGGGGCTTGGCGCATCCCCGGTCGGAGACGCGGGTCGGAGTCGGAAGTGGTGCTTTTGGCTAGGCCTTCCGGTCGGAGAGGCTGTCCGGAGGCGGGCTAGAGATCGAAGCGAGCGCTCCGGTCGGAGAGGTGGGCCGGAGTCGCTAAACGGGCGCTGTTCCTTCTCGGCCTGGCCTTCCGGTCGGTGGTTGGATCGCCCTTCTGTCCTGTCGTTCAGGTACTTGGGCCGGCCTATAAGTTGCGCGTTGTTTGTAACGTTGCCTGCTGGGCTGAGCCTTTGTTGGGAAGCCAGTCCACGAGGAACCCTGGGTTTATGAACCCGATACCAACCAACGAACAGGCTGGTTGTCAGTTTGTATAATTTTCATATATGGATGGATGAATCAAAGTTTAGTAAATGACTAACTAGAATGATAAAATAATTTATAATTTTAATATCATAGGGTATAGCAGTTGTACTAAATATATGTAGATGCAGTTTTACAAGTAACCAAAACACTACGATGAGTAAAACCCAACAAAACATACATATCAGGGTTGTTTGGATTGGATGAGCTAGCTAGGTACTAGTTGTACTAAAAATTAGCTCAAATTAGTTAAGACTAGCTAGTTGGCTAATACCTAATTGAAGGCTTGACGGGAAAAATAGCTCACCTATTAGCCCTTTCTGTTTGATGTGCTAGGGCTAATTTTCGCTAATTTTTAGCTAACTAGTAATTATCTCTTGTAGTCAAACATGCCTATAATATATGGAAATTATCTCTAGAATGTTTTTGTGTTTTTAAATAAGTGATGTACTTGTTTTTAAGGTAATGTACTTTATTTAGCTGTTTTACTAAATATGTAGATGGAGTTTTAAGTAACTAAAATGCTCACGTCAAGTAAAATCCAACAACACGTATGCTCTCTCCGTTCTAGAATAAACGCACCTCTCGTTTCTCGGAAGCCTTTTGTGAGTTAGGAGGCTGAGAAAGCCAGCTCGGGTCGTTTTTTTCACACTTTGCAAAAGTAGCTCAGCTTTTCTGACTTTCGACGCATATTCAGCCATTTCCTGTCCATGTAATCTAGCACACGTGGTACGTGACTAGTACAGTGTCAACGTAGTTCTAAGAAATTTTATACGATGTAGCAAGACGGAGGAAAAGAGAAATCCTCCCCAACAGAGCCGAGGTGCTATGGTGGCCAAGCGACATCTTGCTTATCGGGAACGACTATTATCTGCGTGCTGTATATACTTGGAAAGCAGCAAGTGTCGTTTCTACCTGGCAGTTTTGTTTTGTGCATGGATCTGAGTAAGACGTACGTACGCTTTTAATTAAGTGAGTATCTCCCAAAGACGCGTACGTACACAACGAGGGACCGCTGCACAGTATATATATTATTGTATAGTAGTACAATATAAGTATAGGAGCATACTCCTTGTATTTACGTATCTGTTGTTTTCTTGGGCGGAATCTGAATTGGATCTCTACGCGTATAGTATATATACTTCGTACACAGTACTAGCTCGATCGTCTGAAAATGCAGTGTGGTGTACGTTGGAGTGAATCTTACACAGCATACGTACTCACTGTACTACGTACTGTACGTGCGCACTGGCCTACCTTGGCGCCGTTCAGCTGGTCACGATACCAGCCGGATTTCACTGTTGTGGGCTAAAAAACACGGTTTATTCTCTCACAAATTTCTCTAGATTTAGCCCTCGTTTAGTTCGCGAAATTTAGATTTTGGGACTACTGTAGCACCTTCGTTTTTATTTAGCAAATAGTGTTCAAACATGGACTAATTAGGCTCAAAACGTTCGTCTCGCAATTTCCCACCAATCTGTGCAATTAGTTTTTCTTTTCGTCTACATTTAATGCTCCATGCACGGGCCACAAACATTCGATGTAACAGGTACTGTAGCAACTTTTTGGA